TCAGGACTCAATGCACCACTGCACTCTGCACTTTCTGTATGGACTGCCATGGTTTTTTTTTCACTACCACATATTTATTGTTCCCTACAATGTATTTATTGTTCTGGTTGTTATTATTGAATTTGTTTGTCATGTACTGTCTACATCGTGCGCTGTTGCCCGTCCTACTGTGTCGTCTGCTGTACTGTGTATATCCCGAGGCACTGGCACGAACAAGAATTCCAGTGTACATGTACATATGGCAATAAACTCCTCTCCTCTGCTCTACTCTACCCTGGATGGGATGCCAGTCCATCACAGGGCACACACAAACAAACTCATACCAGGGCCACTTTTCCCAGAAGTCAATGAACCCACCAGTGTGTCTCTGGACTGTGGGAGGAAACCCATGCGAACATGGGGAGAACATGCAAACTCCACCCCAGGGGTTGCACCCAGGGCCCCAACACTGTGAGGCAGCAATTTTAACTACTGTGCCTCTGTCCCACCAATGTTTGGCAAAGGTCCTTATTTTTCTCATGGAACAACTGGGCACAGAGTACCCACTGAGCAAATGAGTTGAGTGGCTTAACCCCCAGTCTGTCCAGAAGGGGAGAAAAGCCCCGTCACCCCATTACCTGTCTGCACGCAGGCAAATGAACTATATTAATAGAGTCTTGTTAAAGAGGTGACACATTACTGGTCAGGGTTGCTATTCTGCCCTTCCTCTTTATCTCCCTGTCCACCGCACTGGGACGGCTCAACGCCTGGCATGTGTCGTGTTGAGTGTGAAACACGATGACAAGTTCATCCCCCTCCCCACTCTCGCTGGTATAGGAGGAGGAAGGTGATCTTTGGAAACAAAGGTAGTTCTGCCTGAGGTCCTCCTCCTTCCTGAAGCTGACTTGCTCAGAGAAGCGGCTCTGTCACGCAGGAGCCCCGCTGTAGGGCTCGTGCTGTTGTATGACATGTGCCGAGGACGAGCACAGAACGGCTGCCCCTCGTCTCACCAGGTTTCCTGAATCCTATTAGGGAACGTTAAGGAACTTTGGGGCTGCATGTTCATCGGTAACCCTATTTCAGCTGCAGTACCTGTAAATGGGAAGGAAAGCCATAGACTCAGTTACTAATCTTCTAATCCTCTCTATTCATTTGTTTGTTTCGACTTCACCCCTCTCTTCACCTCTCTTCACCTGAGTGGCCTCTCTGCCTCCCCCTGCTCCCGCCTCCTCCACTCTCCCGGCTTTTCTTCTCCTGTGCTGTATACTCTTTGCCGTTTGCCCTGTCTTTCTCACACCCGAAGAAGGCTCCACTGCCGAAACGTTGCGTTTCCTTTCTTCTCGGTGCAGCAGGGAATGAACCTTTCCTTGTTCCGACTCAGTTACTGTGTTCAACTCTGTTTCTAGTCTGTGCACTAGTGTTGGGGTCCCCTGGCCAAATCCTGAGGACACCCACATCTCTCCGCTACATCGCCAAACCCTTAATTAACCTAATAATAGCTTTGATTGTGTTCCATTCCTAAACATGTTGGGGGGAGTTGCCTTCTAATTAGAGCTTAGTTCTCCGGGTTCTTAGTAGAAAAGAGGTTCAGATCAAGCCAGCTGCTAGTTTAATTAAGGATTCCATTAATTACAGAGCTCAGCTAGAATGAAAACCAGCAGGTGTAGGGGGCTCACAGGATTGCCCAGAAACTGGCTGCCGTGCTCAGCCTCTTGAAGGATAATGTTGTCCGAGCTGCCTCTGTCCAGACACACGTACGTTTTGACTGATGATCGGAGTGCAAAACTTTCCCCACTTGTTGCTTTGTGTGTCTGGCCCAGATTCCAGTGGGTTAATTCGTTGGAGGGAGCCTTAGAGAATAAAATGCTTTGCTCTGATCAGCTGGACCCATGGTCTCTCACCTGTGTTTCCCCTCCACTATCACCCCTCTGACGCAGTATGCCATGTGAATTAACACAGCAGCGGCAATGTTTAGCAGCTGGTAACACTATAAAGTTCAGAGCAGAGTGTACAGTATCACCAGCTTCTCAACTGGCTTCCTGGATCAGAAACCTCGGGATGCAGTCCACACCACCGCTGGCTTAGAACGAGGCGTGTTACATTCCTGACTTTCAGACATGATGTAAAAGAGCTGTAATAATGCCCCATGAAATAAACAGGGGAAGAGTTTTGACATAATCAGAGCGTGGTATGTGTGGCTTGTGCATGGCAACACTTCAGCTCCTCAGAGTTACAGTGTGTTTAGTTAGCTTGTAAATCAGTCGTCTCCTAGAGTCCTGTGCTTGTATGGAGAGAGAGGGTTGAAGCATGCAACACAGCTGATGTAAGAGTCAGGAGGACACTGTATAGCATAGTATGGATAGCTCACCTGACTGTGATAATGCTGCCGATTTATCACAGTGCATATTTCTGTGTCTATGTCCTTTTGAGCTCCATTCCTCTGCTGGGAATGTGCTGGGCTGTCCAGATGCTTTTTCATGTGATCAGAGAATACATGGATCTAAATTCTTCATCTTTACCCTGAACGTTAGCAACCTCTCTTTCCTACTCTGGGCCGGTGTGGTAGCTGGAAGGTTGCCGGTTTGTTTCCCGCGGAATCCTAATCCGTTGAGGCCCTGAGCAAGGCCCTTAACCCCAGCGGCTCAGGGGTGCTGTATAAATGGCTGACCCTGCGCTCTCACCCCAAGCTTCTCTCCCTGTCTGTGTGTCTCATGGAGAGCAAGTTGGGGTATGTGAAAAGACAAATTCCTAATACAAGAAGTAGTATATGGCCAAAAAGTTATGTTATAAGGTGATCTTACTTTGGGTATTAAATACAGGTATAGTGGGACCGGAAGTATTGTGTATTATATTATACTGCATAAATGTTGTCATCAAAGATTAGAGAGCCTCATGTTCCTTAAATGTGGCCATTTATCAATCCTTTATCTTGAAAGCAAACAAAAACCCCCACACACAAGTCATTCTTAGCACGCTGTACAGTGTGATCCACATCAGACTTACAGAATCCAAGGTCACCCTATCAGAATCTATGAATAGAAATGCAGAGCAGAGGAGAAGAGGAAGTCAAGTGGCCCTACAGCAGCAGGCAAAAATGTGTCACATGAGCCCTCAAACATGCTTCCACACAAAAAGGCACTGTGGCAACGGAGCCCTGAAACCAGGGACTTGGCACAAAATCAGGCCAAAACAATAGATAACACAATATTTTCATTTTTGTTCATCTTTTCTCCTCACCTATATTCTTCTACAGAATTGCCGGAAAAGCAAACATATAAATCCAGAAAACAGGCAGAGAGAGAGAGAGTTGAAGGAATGTTTATTTAAACCCCACGGACACCACAGGCTGCCCCTTTGCAAGCGCGCTGAGACTCACTCACCTAATTGCACGGTCTCTCTGCTTTGCTTTGCTTTGATTCTGAGGGGACAGCGCGCCCAGGGCACAGTGATATTTGTGTATCCACATACATACGACTTTCAGAGAGCCGTAATTATTTCCCCTCGTACTTATTTCTGAAGTTAGAACATCATCTAAGTGATCATTTCTGAAGAAAAAAGGGGCAGATTCAATTGCCGAATACGCGGGAGGAAGGTAATTGTTGTTACACACGCCTCTTGGTGGAACATGGTCAAATCAGGCGATCAGTGCAACACTTTTATCCTTCCCCTGAGATATGGTCTTTCAGTTTTTTGAGCAGCTGTATTTTCTTTTTAGAATGGCACAATTTTAATTTTGAACAACAACAAAGCGGCAAAATATATATCTACAGCAAATGCAACATAGAAGGACTAAGGCAACAGGAATATCGAGATGACGTAAATTATTTAATGGTAAAAATAAATCACCTAAAAACTCTGGAAATCAGTAGATTTGGAACCAAAAT